TGGCAATTTACATTACAATGTTCACAGTTTTTGAACATTTTAAACGGGTGATCTGGAATTGGATATACAATTTTGAGTTGACCTCCTGACATGAAAAGCATTTACACTTTTGTTACATATTCAGTACAAAGATATAATAATGATAGCGCCTTTCATGTTGAGAGGACATTGCAAAGTTCTTCATAGGATTCACTGTACAGTGTACTGTATTTTGTGGGCAAACATGGCAGCCAATCCCACAATCAGCTATGAAGTGAAATGGATAACAATAATCCATTTCCATAGTATCTGTGGGACAGTTGTACCTGCCTATTTCTATTGACCTAACACACCTTCATTCATTGCAATGTGCACTAACCAAGAATGAATTATTTATTGTGATTCCAATTCCGTCCATCCAATTTAAAATAATAATGATAAATCAACATTTTAAAGAATAGAAAATGCATAAGAAATCCTGAGTTCTTGAGAATAATGTCAAGTTTTATGTCAAACAGAGTGTGATGTTTCAAGCTTTTACTTGGTTTGCGCTTTGTGATTTTCTAACAACTGGAAGTGTTTCATAGCAACGAGAATAAAGATTTCCTATGATTCCTCCAGTCCAAATAATAGCTCTTGACTGGCCTCTGCACGATGAGCTCACCAAAATAATCATTAGTTTCAGATGTATTGGAAACGGCAGTTCCAATGGTAAGCTGAAGCACTACTATTACTTAGGTTGGGAACTGGTTTAGATAGTTATCCAAAACAAACACACAAAGAGCAAACCTTCCTTTAGCAAGACTGCCACCAAAGAAAATTAAATCTGCACGAGACATCTCATGCATTCCCTCATGTTAACACACAAAGATTATTAACTATTGTCACATTAAGAATTCATTTGAATTCTTTTCAATCTTTGAAAGTCAAAACAGAAGATATAGTGGAGACCCACTGGATTGGATATTTTAACGAAAAGCAGACACATGTGTCACACACATGAATCAGAGTTCCATGCATCATCTGAAAGGCAATTGGATAGATACTTGAAGAAGAATCGGAAATGGTACAGGGAAAAGATCAGGAATATGGGATACGCCTCTTGGCACAGGCACCTGAGCCAAAAGGCTTCCAATTGTGTTGAACTTTCTACATGATCATAATATACTTTGGAATTGATTGTTCAAGCGCTATTCTTTCGGGCCATATTTAATGGACCCTTGTCTGATCTCCTCATTCTGCACTTCAAAAGCCTTAGAAAGTGACCTTTCATTATTTTATTTATACCACCTCCTGTACATTTCTTCACTGAGTTGCCTTTATGGCCTCTTGGCTTCACTCATGTTCCTTCAGTTCTAGATGGCAGATGAGACCACAAACTGTTCCCAGTGTCACTCTATGTTAAGCATATAAAAGGTGTGATTTTGCTGTGAGGTGTGACAGACAGTCTTTGCATTTCCTCCTGCTGAGGTGAGATCCTTCACTTGACAGTTCCTCTCTCCAGCTCCACCACCCAACATAAAAGCCAAGAGTTTATAAATTGAATTGCTTGCATTGGTGAGAGAGTAGAATGTCAGACATTCTACTTAAATCTGTGACCTTCGGGATGTGAAGCAAGAGTGTTGATTACAATATAATCAGTGTGGCTTGTTAATATTTTCCAAGTAACAATGGACAGCAACAATAGATATGTCAATGAAGTTGCTCAGTGTGGAACAGTTCAACATTGATAAATGTATTACAAGTTTGCACAGATCAGTTTATGCTTGGGTCAAGATGTTTACTGATTGCTTACAAAACACATGTCATTATTGTGCTGCAATTTAATGTAAAGTAACATTATACAAAATATTTTTTTACAAGATGTTAGTGTGTTACAGATGAGTGACTGGGAAGATTCAGGGTGCTAAGCAATGGAAACAAGAATTATTAAAATCTATTTTATTTTACAGTGGTATTAGCAATATGCAGTTAAGTGTTATACCTGGATCAGGAAATCTATATTTGGATTGAATGTGATCTGTTTTATTCTGCTCAATTTTGTGCTTGATTATGTGTATGTTTCATAAACGTGACACTTTAACTTTAAGCTGTAATGTTATAACCCGGAAGATTGGCTAGTACCAGTTAGGTCACATATTCATAGGCAAGCAGAACTGCATTAGATGCATAAATGTCAGCCTGGCTCACTTGGTAGCAGGCTTGCCTTTGAGTCAGAAGATTGTGGATTCAAGCCCCAAGACCAGCCTGACATTCCAATACAGTGATGGAGGAGAAATTAATTGTTAGAGATGCCATCCTTCAGACAGGTAAACTGAGGTCCCAGCTGTCTGTTCAAGTGGACATTAAAAATCCCATGGCACTAATCGAAAAGAGAAACTCTTTGAGAGGTCTTCCCAGCGTGAAAGGCGCTATGTCAAATGCAAGGATAATTATTATCGATCAGACTCAAAATGAATCAGATAGATTCTATGATTCATTGTTGACTCAATCCAAAAAAATCCTCACAAATGAATTAGATGTAAGATTTCAGAATGATTATCTTGTGTGACATTAATGGCAGAAAGTGTTTTTGCTGAAAAAGTGGGCCATGTCATGAAACATCAGTCACGTGGGATTTATTTTTGATGGTTCAGGATTGCACTTGCAGATGTGGAACATGTGGTAATACACCGTCTCCATTGCAATCAAGAGGAAACCCTCAGGCTGAGCCGATTGCTGGTGAAATCAGTATCTTCTCAGCCATGCACTGTGAAAGCGGACAGTATTTGCGCCTTGGTCTGAACCTCATTTCGAGCTGGTGCATGCTCACAGCACAGAGCCTAGTGGCCACCATGGCTCAGAGGATATCAATACTGAGCAGGGATGGTTTGCCCATCAGTTTTTGGGATGTTCCTTGGCTAATGCCACTGTGTACTGGCTAGGGGAATCCCTTACTCTAAAGCCCAGATTCTTATGAGGCAAGGGAAAAAGGCTGTCACAATCGGATTTGGCCATGTAGAACTAATCAGTTGGTTTGTGAATGAGAAGAACATTAATTGTAAACACAATTCTGGCAAAAGCACCTGAGTTATACTCTCTCGTGTGCAACCTGTGAGGCTGTAACACATTAAAAAACACAAACTACTTTAAAATACCTTTTCCATTCCTCTCTTCTATCTATAGAGATTATATCCTTTCTATCAATAGTGATTTCTCTGAACAATGGCATTGGTATTGTAGGAGGTCAAGATGAATACGCCTTAACCACCAAAAAAAAGTTATTGGACACTTCATCACATAAATAATTGCAGAGCATGGGTATTTGCTGCCTTGTGTCTTCATGCCATGGCAACACCCATGCTTCTAACCCATGCCGTGTTTTAATCACCTTTTTCTCCCTATATAGCATAAAATGTACAGCATTTCTTAACCCAATCCTTGAGTTAAATAGCACAAGGAAGGAGTGAAGAAACACCCCAAATTAAACCTTATATGCATTGAAATCATAATATTCAGCAAAAAACACAACTTAGAAGGACGGAGCTTTCATTATATGGCATTGACACCAATAATAATGATGAATTGAGATATTTTACAGTTAACTATTTCCCTAAGATCATGAAACATTACTGCTTAATTCTTAGTGTTCTGTAGTACAACATTAATATCTTATTTCCAGACAAAGGGACTCATTTCAGTTAAATAAGTAAAGAATATTTCTTTGATAACAGAATTGTGTAAAATGGGAACTTATGATAGCTATTATATTCATGTTAATGTTCAGAAAAAAGCTGATACAATCCTCCGAGGACATAATCATATTTACTCAATCAAATAAAATGCATTTTCTTTACCTTTTTATCCATCACTTACATTTTCATTTGCTGAACAAAGAAATGTTTCTTTTGTTAATTATGTGAAATGATTCACCGCACGTAGTATATTACTACATTTACAGAGTTTAATGAAATACGTGAATAAGTGAATCTGTGAAAACTGAAATCCTTTTAGTTCAGTTTTCAAAATATGAACTTATTCATGAAATACCTTGAAATAGATGAATCAATATCAAAAAGTAGAATTAGACTAATAATACAGAATGTTAAATCATAAGAACTGGGATAACCAAATAAATTGCATCACTGACTTTGATATAGAAATGTTACAAAAATGCAGTTGTTAAAAATGTGAGTCTTCTTAATCCTCAAAGTTCACCACTCTGAATTTGGTAATTGATAAAAGTTTGAGACTTTGGGGCTTATACTCTATTTGGTCTAAAAAACCAGGGTATTGCCTCTGACATTATTCCGTAGAAATACGATACTCACCATAAAAGCACCCAAAGTGTTGCAGTCATGTTAAGATGGCCATCAAACCACCATAAGCACACTGATTTCATACTTGAATGACAATATAATATAAACGATCCTTGCATTTGATATAACCTCATCATATCAGAGACTTTTCAAAGAGCTTTGCAAGATTTTATGGTGAAGTGTAGTGACCTTGTATTTGTAGGCAAACGAATGAGTAAGATTTTATTAATCCAGTAAATAATATTTATGGGGAGTTGGTGTTTATTCCAGTTGTGTAGAGAATACAATGGAAAACATATTTTGTGGACAGTTGTATGGGTTACCCAAGCAATGGCCATATCCTGTCAATGTACAACTGGTAGCTTAATTGTAACGACACGGAATACAATACAGTGCCTGGAATTGCTCCACTGTTAATCTCTGTTGAAATTATCTGGTTTAGGTTAACTGAGGCAAACAAAGGGATAATACAGAATAATTTTCCATACTTATGTATATCATTTAGCAAACATAAAATAGGTCCCATTTATGTTTCCCTCTCTGTGTACAATATTCTGCTGTGCATAGCGTTGTGCACATCAATATATGTCTCAGAATCATAAACACACTCCTTGCTTTTCGTTTGCAATCAATATGTTGACTAGTATTCAAATTGCAATTAAATATGAAGAAAAATAGTGCTGCAAACTCAGCAGTAGTTGTGTCTGCATTAAAGAACGTTACTCACAGATATTTGCAGTTCCTTTAGGAATGGGCAGGTATGAACCAGATCTCCATGGTTGGCCCTGAAAGGCTTTCTTGCATCTTCCACAGTCTTGTCCAGTTGTGTTGTGCTCACAGACACAAGCTAGTTTCCCATTGTCCAAGATGCAGTTGTTAGCATGAAGGTTGCATTTACACCTTAAAATGAAGGACAAAAAGTGCTCTTGAAAATGACTTAAATTGAATTGCAAGTTATTCCTTTGGGTCTCTTTTACATAGAATTACATAGAATATACAGCACAGAAACAGGCCATTCGGCCCAACTGGTCTACGCCAGTGTTTATGTTCCACGTGAGCCTCCTCCTGTCCTTCCTCAACTAAGCCTCTCAGCATAACTTTTTATTCCTTTATCCTTCATGTACTTATCTAGCTTCTCCTTAAATGCATCTATGATATGCGCCTCAACTACTCCTTGTGGTAACAAGTTCTTTTACTTTTAAAATAAAAATATCAAACATACATTATTAGATACTTTTACTCAACATTAATCCTTTTTTCATCGAGGAAGAACAATCTAAGCTTCAAAGGCACAAATTTACAATGCATCTTGTCTGCTCGTTATGTAAATAGTATGTGAAATTTCACCTCTACTCCTTTTGGTCACATTAACGGAAACAGAACATGAGGAGAGAAGAGAAACGTAGGGAATATTTGGTCAGTCCCTTGCCCTTAATTTTAGAGCTTCTTCCTTAACAAATATGAAAGTCATTAGGGAAAAAATACTTTTTTGTAAAAAAAATTATATGGACCTAAAATGGAAAGGACTTCATATATATTGTGTTGCCAAGTTGACATTTGGTTATGGATTTCTTGGATGATCCCACCTTTTGCTTGCCAATTTTCCTTAAATACTCAACAAGAATGATATCCACAGAGGGCTCTTCTCAGAAAAAGTGAAGTATAAAATTTGTTGTGAATTCAGCTGAAATCAACCGAGTCACAGAGACTTGGGAGTCAAACTGAAATTTACATTAAAGTAACCAAAACAAGAAAATCGATTGATGGGCTAAAACTAACCATACAACAATGAACAAAAAATTATTACACATACACATACAAAACCTACTGCAGGATGCATCCAAATATAATTTATTCCTTTGAATATTTTGTTTCCATTACTCATTATGGGGCAAAACACAGTTTCTGTAACACTGAAATTTGAAGTTTGACACTCTATAACGGATTGGAAATAGCTTAAATAACAACAGCAGAAATGTGTAAGAATGTGGTGGAAATGAATACAGTGTATTGTTAAACATATAAGTATATAGCAATCCCCAGAGGAATACTTCACAGTTACTCAATCAAAGATAACAATCATTTCATGTTATTGTGTGCATTTTCATTTAGGCACTCCAAGATTTATTTTCTGATTTATATAAAGAGATGAATAAAGTTTGCTGTATCATTGTATAGGAAAAAAATAATGAACTCTGGATCACAGTGCATTAGTTCTGATTAGGTTGTAAATTTTGACCCTGAAGCAAGAACAGTTTAATATACAGTTATCAGAACCCTGATATATTCTTATATCTTTCATTTCTCACATTCCGCAGTTTTATTTTCCAATTACTACCAAAAGAACAAATTTAGAATCTTCTAAAGGTTAAAGCCTGAATTCACTCAAATATTCACCTCTATGGCTGTGGCTTTCAGTGAAGGAATACACGTGTAAGCCTTTTAAGCTAGTGAAGCGATAAAAAAGTTGAAGTAAAGCATTCTGCAGTCTTCATTACTTCCTGTTATACAATAAGCAATAAGAATGGGCTTCATTTGACACATCATTATAACAAGAGCTGGTCTATTAATGTATAATCAGTGCTGCCACAAGGAATGGCCTAACATTACATACTCAGTATAGCAATAAAAAATAGCCTAGTTGATTAGCCTTAGATACTTCATTATACTGAAATGGCACACGGCCAACTTTGACTTAGAATCTAATTTCGCAGATTCAGTAACTGAGTCTGACCTAAACAACACTGAAGAAGGTTAATGCTTCAATTACTCCTGAAGATAGAAGCAAATGGCAGTGGTGAGTCTTTAACTAAATGTTATAGCTCCAGTGTCTATTATTTTGTCAGTTTTCAAGCAAATGAAAATAGGATGCAATTTGTATAGGGTAGTACACCCAGAAATCAGCTCGCTGCTTATGCCTTCATGTCACCCAGGATCAGGTATAGTGACAGTACAGTGTAGTGTCATACAGTGTATAGTGACAACAATCTGCAGTAGGTTCTTCTGGTTAAGCAGAGATATTAGGGTGACTTTTTTTCATTTGATAATACTCTTTAGGATATATTTTGATGCCTATGGTTGTCTACAAAATTCACCCTTCAGGATATGTTTAGATCAGCACACTTTACAGTAACTCCTGTGAAGCGCTTTGCGATGTCCTCCCAATGAGAAATGCAAGGATTATTATTTGTTATGACAATTTTATTTGACACACTGTTAGTGGTAGATTAGAAGCATTTGGGAATCGAGACTAACAACTCAACTCTTGGCAGAGCAACTTCATTTGTCAGTTATCAGCCCAGATGCACACCCTGTCAAATGCTCTTTGTAAAATCTTGGCTGCCTCTTCTGATTCCACAGTTTCTCCAACCCCCCCACCTTTCCATTTTCTGTAAATGTACCCACCTTTCATGAGCATGTGAATCAAGGTCACTTATATATCTTAGGAACAGGAGGGTGATGTGGTTTCAATTAACTCGTGTCTATTGTGTCAGAGCTTGGCTTAGCATTCCATGCAATCACATTTACATTAAACAATACAGTGACAGGATGAATGTCAACTTCCTGGGGATGAGCTACATGGAACTATTCCTTCTGTTTTTGTTAGCTTCACTGGGAATCATGCATGCTTCAGTCCACAGTGGTTTGGCTAATACATTTTCCAGCATTAACTGTGCATGAAGATGAACATTTGGCTTCAGATATATAGACTTGTCCGTAAGCAAGAAATCAGACTTTAGTAAAGGCTACTGGATGTAGAATCCTTTTGAATAAAGTAAGTAACAGAGGCTTTATCCAAATATATTGTAAAAGTAATTCACTCCTGAGATTGTTCAAAGTGATATTGTAAAATTAAGGTAAACTTGATTTATCTACTGCTACTTTAAGTAAATGCACACTGCTGTATAAGCAGCAAGTACCTTATCTGCTGCAGTGTTTGCCCACAGGGGTTTCTGGTTTGAAGTAAACTGCTAATGACACAGCGGCTTTAACCTGTCAGTTACCATGCATGAAGAGCTTTCACCACTCACCGGCGGCTGAGCCACTAGATGGGGTGAGTGCCCAACAATGTAGCATAAACCACACGCTTCCTTCTTCTGTCCCAGAAAACCACATGTCCTTCCTGCCTGCCTGCCAATGCATACAGCAGACCTGTCATTAGAAATCATGGATGAGTAAGTGGCCTGCTTCACCAGCTGGAAGATGAGGCCAACATCAGGGCAGCTATGATAGGAGGGAGGGGAATAATGAGAAATACCTAAACAGTATTGACAGCATATATTAACACATTATGTCAAGCTAGAGTGTAGACTGGGTAAAAGCTGACAATTCATTTTCCTTTATGTGGCGTTGTGGCTTGGGTATGTAGAATACACAAATTGGTATCAACTGCAAATACAGTCTTCTGAAATACTGGGTAAATTCTATTCTACAGCTGTCATAGTAGAGAAGATGATACCAGAGGGAACGAAATGTTCATTTCTCCATTTAAAATAATCATATGTTCAGCAGGTGCAGAAGTAGCACTGATCTCACACACACACCACAAGACTGTCTCTTGTATCAATGATGTGCAGCTCCCCATATCATATGTACACCAATGTCAGCATTTATACTCGGGTATGTTAGAATATGGAATGCCTTACCACAAAAGCCTGTTGAATCTGAGCCCATGGTAGCATTTAAAAGGGAATTGGATAAATATTTGAGGGAAAAGCGGAGGTATAGGATTAGAGCAGATAGCTCCAGTGAAGAAACTAACACCAACACAAGACACCAAAACCTCTTTTAGTTCATTGTTCGTAATTCAAGTCTACATGTGCCCTATAAAAAATATATTCAAAATACAACAGTGTCTGTACACATCTGTGCTGATGAATGATCGATACTGCAAATACCGAATCAAGATGATCAGTCTTTCTGGACCACAGTAAAGGTGAACACAGCGAAAGAAGGGTGCGAACCTTCATTGACATCTGTGAAACTACACTATTTTAGAAGAGGAAATACTGAAATATTACCAAACAAAAAGCTACACTAACAAATTAAGACTTAATAATTTGCACTGCATTTAATTATAATATGACTCTTAAACCTCACGTTAATCCTCCATATGGAATCTGTACCGCAGATTCCTCATCATTCTCCCACTGGTGTGGACTCAAACATTATTCCCTCGAATATCCTTTTGGATGCCTCCCAAAGACAATGCTGTACAAAAAACCTGCTGTAAATATGGGTTTCCTCAGATATAAACGCACTGGGTTTCTGCCTCAATCTGGATAATTGACTGAATTAATTAATTGTACATAAAATTGCACATTCTATCTCTACAATCACAAAATCAAGGGTTTACATGTAATAATTCGTTCACCCCCTCCTCTCGATTTCTTTCAAGCATTTATGTTTCCAATTTCAATCTCACCTTCTTTAGCTTCCCTCTCCCATCCACCACGTGCTATCCCCCATCTCAAAAGGTGAGCAGCTAACTTGCGCCCAGGTTGACTCTGATAATCTTGCCCTTGGGTCTCCTACTACAAGCTAAATAAGAGTGAGTCAGCTCTTTGTGACCTGGTGACACGGGGAGTACATGAGGAGTTACAGTGCAGCACAGAAATGGCTTCTTGTGACCACAAACAGGAACAGATCACTGAAGCATCCCATGTGTGTAAATATCAAGAAGCACCCATTACAGCCCTCACGCATGTTACACATAACTCAAAGTCTTTGCTAGCAACACACACTAAGATAGAGATTCAACGGGAATGGAATAATTATGATAAATCTGTTGAGAAATAATACCATGAGATCTCTCATGTTAAAGAGCTAGAATTCATGATTCAGCTTGCTGCTGCATCTAACCCAACGCTATGAGTTCAGTGTTGCTTGCCTTCCCAGCT